GTAGTAGTAGTAGTAGTAGTACTAACTAGTACTAGTACTAGTAGTAGTAGTAGTAGTAGTACTAACTACTACTACTACTACTACTAGTACTAGTACTAGTAGTAGTAGTAGTAGTAGTACTAACTACTACTACTACTACTACTACTAGTACTAGTAGTAGTACTAACTAGTACTACTACTAGTACTAGTAGTAGTACTAACTAGTACTACTACTAGTACTAGTAGTAGTACTAACTAGTACTAGTAGTAGTACTAACTAGTACTAGTAGTAGTACTAACTAGTACTAGTAGTAGTACTAACTAGTACTAGTAGTAGTACTAACTAGTACTAGTAGTAGTACTAACTAGTACTAGTAGTAGTACTAACTAGTACTAGTAGTAGTACTAACTAGTACTAGTAGTAGTACTAACTAGTACTAGTAGTAGTACTAACTAGTACTAGTAGTAGTACTAACTAGTACTAGTAGTAGTACTAACTAGTACTAGTAGTAGTACTAACTAGTACTAGTAGTAGTACTAGCTAGTACTAGTAGTAGTACTAACTAGTACTAGTAGTAGTACTAACTAGTACTAGTAGTAGTACTAACTAGTACTAGTAGTAGTAGTACTAACTAGTACTAGTAGTAGTACTAACTAGTACTAGTAGTAGCTACTAGTACTAGTAGTAGTACTAACTAGTACTAGTAGTAGTACTAACTAGTACTAGTAGTAGTACTAACTAGTACTAGTAGTAGTAGTACTAACTAGTACTAGTAGTAGTACTAACTAGTACTAGTAGTAGTAGTACTAACTAGTACTAGTAGTAGTAGTACTAACTAGTACTAGTAGTAGTAGTACTAACTAGTATAGTAGTAGTAGTACTAACTAGTACTAGTAGTAGTAGTACTAACTAGTAGTAGTAGTATAGTAGTAGTAGTAGTAGTACTAGTAGTAGTAGTAGCTAGTAGTAGTAGTAGTAGTAGTAGTAGTAGTAGTACTAATAGTAGTAGTAGTAGTAGTAGTAGTACTAATAGTAGTAGTAGTAGTAGTAGTAGTAGTAGTACTAATAGTAGTAGTAGTAGTAGTAGTAGTAGTAGTACTAACTAGTAGTAGTAGTAGTAGTAGTAGTAGTAGTAGTACTAATAGTAGTAGTAGTAGTAGTAGTAGTAGTAGTAATAACTAGTAGTAGTAGTAGTAGTAGTAGTAGTAGTAGTACTAATAGTAGTAGTAGTAGTAGTAGTAGTAGTACTAACTAGTAGTAGTAGTAGTAGTAGTAGTAGTAGTACTACTAGTAGTAGTAGTAGTAGTAGTAGTAGTAGTACTAACTAGTAGTAGTAGTAGTAGTAGTAGTAGTACTAACTAGTAGTAGTAGTAGTAGTAGTAGTAGTACTAACTAGTAGTAGTAGTAGTAGTAGTAGTAGTACTAACTAGTAGTAGTAGTAGTAGTAGTAGTAGTAGTAATAGTAGTAGTAGTAGTAGTAGTAGTAGTAGTAATAGTAGTAGTAGTAGTAGTAGTAGTAGTAGTACTAATTAGTTAGTAGTAGTAGTAGTAGTGTAGTAGTACTAATTAGTTAGTAGTAGTAGTAGTAGTGTAGTAGTACTAATTAGTTAGTAGTAGTAGTAGTAGTTTAGTAGTACTAATTAGTAGTAGTAGTAGTAGTAGTAGTGTAGTAGTACTAATTAGTAGTAGTAGTAGTAGTAGTAGTGTAGTAGTACTAATTAGTAGTAGTAGTAGTAGTAGTAGTGTAGTAGTACTAATTAGTAGTAGTAGTAGTAGTAGTAGTGTAGTAGTACTAATTAGTAGTAGTAGTAGTGTAGTAGTACTAATTAGTAGTAGTAGTAGTGTAGTAGTACTAAGTAGTACTAACTAGTAGTACTACTAGTAGTAGTAGTAGTACTGTAGCAATCAGTAGTTAGTAGAAGCACAAGTACTACTACTATACGTCTGTTAGAGCTTGTCGATCAGACTGACTGTGTGGACCAACACATTCAACAACTGAAGGCGTGCCACAGCGAGCGCGGTGTGCTCTGACCGATGTTCTAAATGTACTGATAGCGTTTGTAATAGGACACATGGCGGCAGACCTGGCTTGGGTAGTGCGATAGGAAAAAAGCGAGGGATTTGAGTCTATGCGGGGGTGTCGGGAGGTTATAAAGTGGGGAACGAAAGAGAATGACGCCGAAATTGGAAAAAGTACTGGTAGTAGTAGTAGTAATACTAGTAATAGTAATAGTAGTAGTAGTACTAGTACGTACACCACAGCCACTGTTTCTGTCACCATTCGGTCAAGAAGGCCTTTCCAATTCCAGCATCATTCTTTTCCGTTCCCCACTTTATAACCCCCCGCCACCCTCGCGCAGACTCAATCCCTCGCTCTTTTCCTATCTCAATGCCCAAGCCAGATTTGCCGTCATGTGGCCTATTACGAACGCCACCAGTGCACTTAGGACATCGGTCAGAGGGCACCGCGCCATCAGGTGTTGAATGTGTTGGTCCACACAGTCAGTCTGATAGACAAACTCTAAGAGACGCATAGATAAACACATCGGGGCCTTTGCTGGCTGGGTAGCTGACTAACAGTTCTCCATCTGTTGCTGCCTCTACCGTCTGGTATTAAGACGAAGGAGAGAGCGAATGGACGGATGAACCAAATCCCGACAAAGCGAATAAGAGGTCGAGCTGCAGACAGAACGCGCTGTTCACTCCAAGCGGTTGCCCCCGCTGCCACTGCTGCTGCTGCAATGCCAGTAGTATGCCACAATGATCTTCCGTTGCGATTTCCACTTCGACCTTTTCGACTATTAGTGCTATCATATCAGTGATACTTAGGTAGGTCAGAACGATGACGGTGGAAGCGCTTCAGGTATCGAGAGACCATCACATTTCATACGAAGGTTAATGGTCTAGGATCGTACCGATAATAATAACGACGATGAGGACGCTTATGGTGTCATATTGTTGTTTGTGTTGTTTAAGCGGCTGCTATTGCTTCTACGGCTTGTAAAGCACAATTTAATGCAGATCGAAACTTCAATGTGGCGCTGGAAAGATGGCAGGCGATGACCATAGCTTTACTGAAGACAGCGACATGAAGTCGACGCATAGGTGGAGACATAAGGTCGCCGTAAGAGCGCGGTGGTGACGTCCTTGTTTACTAAACTTAAGAACATTTAGTGACCTGGTTTAGGTTCAAAAGCAGGCATGACACTTCGCTGCGCACTGGAAGAGGTCAACCAAGTGTATCAATGCTTAACCGGACCCAAAACTCTGCACAGATGTTAATTTACGCAGAGTTAAACATTTATGTTCGAAAGATACACGTTCCCACGACTGGACCGAAACAAAGAATAATCAAACAGAAGACATATTCCCCTTCTTCGGTGTGCGTAATCTATATAATCCATTACGAGCGGGTACTTTGTAGTTAGAGTACTATTATAGCTAGATTGTCGCATTGAAAAATCAACCATGTAGCACTTGAGTTAATTCTGTCGCGGTTCACACCCTTCTAGACAGCGGAGTCATCGCAGTATTAATGGTTCAAGCATTAACGTCTTAATCGTTGCAGATGCGTCGCCGATTTTGTCGTCTGTTGCTCTTGGAGTCTACCTTGTTGCGCTGCTGGCACGCGTCTGCTGATGCCGTTATCTCTTTTTCGTCTCTCCTACCTATACTGGTACTAGTAGTGTCGATGTTGTCGTCGTCGTCGTCGATGCTGAGCTTTTGCTATTCTACTGGGGTCCTTAATTGGCCACAGACCTATGGCAACGCTCATTTACCGGTAATGACTGACCGCAGATCGAAGTAAAAATACGAGACCACTATAATAAAGTTGATTTTTTTTATATCTTTGGACTGCCGCCGTGCTAAGCATTGCCTCAGACTTCGATAGCGGCGATTGCAACCGTTATTACTATTGGCGACACATAGACGACTATACGATTGTAGCCTAACTAGTGACAGTGGATTAGCTCAAAGCAACAAACAGAAATGACGACTGCAGCGTAAGAAAGGTATCAAGAGATACCGTATGTACGAGACGATGAGATAGAAAGAGGTCTAGTCGAAAGGGCAATTCGCTGTCCGGGTACGGGTCGATGAACTCATTTAGTATCAGTCTTCACAGCATAGTCCCATAATGCAACGTCGTTGAGGCTGCCATGGCATAGTAAATGCCACGTGTTTAATGACAGACAGCATGCGCAGTCGTGTGCTATAACAGCCACTGAAGCCGGAGTGCATTTGCGGTGAAGTACTGAATTCTTTTGTCAGTTCGGCGCACCCTAGAACTAATCTCGTCCCTACCCACTGTGCACCATTAAACATGTTCTTAAGCTAACGAGGCACAACTAAAGTACCGGAAGCCTTGCATTGCAGCAGCGGCATCAAGAGTTTGGGATATTGTCTTGGACTGACTCAGAGAATGACTGCTAGCATTATTAACGCACGTTGCTCATTCGAGTATCAGAAGACTCGTACAAATAGAAGATAATTGTAGCTAAGAGCTAATTACCGTCTTTGAAGCTTTGGCCACGTATTTATTTGCTAGCTTCTAACGGATGTCTTTCAGTTAAGGGACAGAGGTATGTTGGTGCTGGCATGCCAGAAAGAATGTTGTCAAACACTATGTAACTTAATTTCTAACGGATCTGTGGTAGTTTTCGATGCGGAATGATGTGCTGCTTTTCATAATTGGTGTATTCATACTTTTAAGCCATTCACATATTATATTTGTTTTTTTTTTGTAAGCAGAGAGTAGTAACAATATTACCGAAGGTAATTCTTGTTATTATTTGAGAAGCATGTTTGACAAACATTACGGAAAAATTAAAAGTTTGTAGTTTTTATTCGGTGCATTTCACATTACCTTCCATTAAACGGTATCGAAAAAAGAAAACGGTGCCGTCACTTCGTGCACTTGATTTGCCACCAAACATATTCAAGCAACGATGTTCTGCCTATCAAATGTGACGCCTCTAAGTAGTTCTATGTAATACCTTACTATCATAGTTGGCAACAGCCAGCGGGATGCTTCATGCAGGACACATGTAAAAACCCAGATGGCACAACTTATGCGTGCACGTACGCACTGCAGTACAGTTTATTCTTAGAATAACTAAATATCAATATGCAAAATTAATGCTCGAGTTAGTCTTTATTTATCTTTAGTAATATCATACCGATATATGTGGTAAAGCTAAGCCTTAAGAATCAATCATCATGGATCACTTATCAATAATATCACTAATTGCAGGGTGAGCTGTAACTATAATAATTCGTGATTATTATTCATTGCTGGCTATGATTGGCTTATGAAAATGAGATTATTGTGAACAATTACTTGCAGTGATTTACCACTGTTGCGGTCTCTACGCCTAGAAGTCTTCTTTCTTCAGCAATAGTTTATCCATCTAGATCTGTATTAAGCGTACTGTTGGGAGTGTGAGGATCCAGAGCACTTGGGAACCAATTGTCTCCAGTGGTAACGTCTTGTTGTCTGCCTGCTTACCTCCCTTCAATTGTCTCGCTGACTAGATGGTTATGTTGATGATAATTGTGATCATAGTGGTCGTGATAATTATCTTGGTCAGATGAGAAGTTTCTGACTGGCTACCTTTGGCTGACGGCCGCTGATCGATAGACAACACTATCATTACGAATGTCACCGGCATAACTAAACAGTGAACGGTGGCTAGAAACTGTCCCATAGGACGCTGCGGCCGGCCGACGGTCTTCCTGCAACAAGTACAGTTAGTAGCAGTGTTTTGTTACGGAATTAGCAGCAGACGACAGCAACGGAATCGCAACGCCGCTTGATAATATGTCCTAAGTCGCTCGATCAGCATGATTCAACTTCCTCTCTCTTGCTTTATGTATATGGCATGTATTGTAATCTTCGCGCACTGCTCTGGTTGAAGGAATGGCGGGAGAGCTAACACCACGTGGAAGCAAGACTGAATGTCGCCGGGTAGTAGATGGAGAGAAATACTAGCGTACAAGTAAAGAAATTATTTTTTACAATTCCAACTTAATGGAACCTGCATATATACGGTTTACGATCCACGTCTGTGGATTTATATGTATATATATATAAAGTATGATTTATGTAAAAAGACTGCTTAATTAGATCTGAGTGAGAGTAAGAGTGAAGAAGCATGAAGCTAATTTTGGTGAGAGGCTCCTCCGGTCTTTTTGTTGCTGATTTCTATCTGTTAAACTGTTACCATGTTTGTAATGTTAAACTGATAAACTATTGCCATGTTTGTACTTAAAGTAAGAAGAACGACAAAATATGAGATAAACTTAAAAGGAGATTCAGGCGAATACTAGCAAATTGGCGACTGCTGCCAATTCGCTAGTGCTAGCTTGTTCAATGACTACTTCACGATGGTGGACCGACAATGGTAAAATCTTGATAACTTGGGGAAAGAAGTCATCATTTAAATTGCTTATGTATGAGCTTGCTGTCGTTAGGCCGTCAGGATGTACGGCTACAAGACAGACAATGTCTAACTTAATAATGGTTGAGTACTCTAGCATAAACCAACTCATTTTTCAATCGCCACTGTTTTGCTAGTTGTCTAAGCACCGCTTACCGTACTGTTACGTGCCTGTGGCGTTTCCATAGGATAAGAGAAGGTGCAAGCGATGGCATCTGTGCCACTACCGGCCTAGGCTAGATCACCCGTAGTTCACGTTGGCTAAGCCTCGTATGTACGTAGTTTCAGTGGTGCTATTCGGACTAAATCATCCAGTGGTAGATTTGAGAGTTGTTAGACGACTTATATTTGTCCTTTGGCAAGGCCGACTGGCCGGCCAACTGACCGGGGCCTAACGTGACGAAGATGTAGTGAGTTGTCTCAGAGCCGTAATGTTTTGCCCGGTCAAGTTTAATCGAGTTGGGTTTCTAGGGGTCCTCTGGCTTCCTTATCTGCTTAACCTCTGTAAAAGTTAGTCTACAGGAATAGATATTGAACGGGCTGGCCGAATGGTTGTTACCGCCTTTTTTGCACGGGGACTCTCAGGATCTGCGATACAAGCGAATGCCAGTTGTGAAAGCGTTGTTTTTTTTACTATACTATACATATCGATATAGCTTGTGCATTTTAGTGGTCTATAATGACGGTTGTCCTTTCAACATATTCCGCATGGTAACGCACTTGACATTTTGATTAGGTCATGAACCTGACCAAACAACCACTTCACCCCATGGCGAGTCCCTGAGGGTGGCGCATGGCTTTAGCTTAACGGGCTGACCAATGATCTCCGAGGCTTACATATGTCTAATGTCCATGATCGCATTTCGCTCAACATAACGTATGACACTACGATAATTTTCAGTTTCAGTTATTCCGCGCTATATCTCCTTTTTTTTTCTTTTTTTCTTCTTTTCTAGATCTCCTTTTCCTTGAACTAGGTAAATATAAATGTATAGAATCACGTTTTGCAGTTTTGTTATGCTCCTCACTCGTTCCTATGTTTTCGTAGGTGCCACGAAGTCCTGCTGTATCGGAGATTCATTGAGGAATAATTTGAACATAGGCAATACAAGAAGATCTAAATTTCAGCGAATGTTACGTGTAGTGCATTCATACATACTAGTAAATTCTGTACCAGCCAGGATTTGTGTTGCGAATTTTATTGATTATTAGGTTTGCGCAGTGTAAGGTCTTTTCTGCGTACCGTCGAATAAAACACTTCTCGGTGTAATGAGGGTCTCGTATCTATACGAATGACGGTTTTGACCGAGTACTTCTAATACTTGACAATCAGAGCAATTTATTTTTGAAGAATAGTTTTGTGCAATTACATTTTATTGGATCAGATCTTCATCAACTACTTGAAAAAATTAGCTAGAATACTAGAACTAGTAAAACGGATACTGTAACTAAAGTTATTACTGTAACTAAAGTGGAGGCAAAGCCTAGAATTTTTTATTATCTTTATTTATTGACATACATCAGCATATATTTTAGACAGTATGATACATGAAGTCGTTGCTTGCTATAAATAAAACAAAAACGTTATTATTCGCGATGAATGTTACAATACCACAATCTAAATTGAAAGTTAAAGTATGGTATGCCAGGTCGCCGAAGATACTCGGGGGGTTATGGATCTTCTGGGTGTCTTATCGTTGAGTGTTGAACTGGCCAAAACTAATAAAAACCCTTTCTATATAAGAACGGTAAGATTGGTCAAGACCTCAGCCTGGGACTTGACAAGCTAAAAAATGTGTTTCATATGTTAATGTGAAAAAAACTTGAAAAATATATGACACCTTTACCAAGACTTAAGTAGCCGTATTTGGGTATATTACGTCAAAAGTTGACATTTGAAATGCTGACGGAGTCCGTAAATATACAAAATCGATCGCCGCATATTAAACGTATTTACCGGACTCATTTTCCGTTGGTGCATTCGAATTTGGTTTACGGCCAAGTACAGTCGAATCCACCTTCAATGAAACAGCATGTAATTGATTTAATCGACATAAGCCACTCGTTAATATAATCTCTTTGATCGCTTATTTTGTCCTCTCTAAACTTCCAAAGACGCTGACCCATTCACTATCAATTTTCATCAAGGTGTTTAATCCTTATACAACCAACGCTAGTTAGCGGCACGCTTACCAACACGCTCGCGTGATTTTAGTTTTTAGTGCTACCAGCAGCAACAACCTTCACCGGAGGCGAGTTCTGCTAAACGAAACGACTCGTCATACCGTCATAATAATTATGATGCTGCCGATGATGGCACTGTTTAAACAAGGAACAACGT